TCAGTACTGTGCATGCTCAAATTTTAAATTATTTGTATTGTGTAAGTATGATACTATTTAAGACAGAAAAGAAAGCATGTTTCGTGATATTGTTGTCTCGCAACTTGATACTCGTCGTATCGTGAAGAGATCATACCCCCTGTTTCCCTTGGATCTTAATAGTGTTAAGGCACAAAAGGACGCTAAAAAATTTGCAAGCGTGCTACTAAAGTTACAAAAATGATATTAGATCTTCATGCGGTCCATTAATTGTCTTACCGTACATTCCCATTTCCCAGTGAATCAGTGCGAAATTACAATGATTCGTGCGTAACACTGTACTGATGTCAACATTGTTTGTTTTAACAGCCAAATACAATGTTTAAAGTAAATGAAACGAAAAATAGACCAAAAAAACTCGACACATGATATCATATTTAGTGGGTTTTTTATTTTTTTCCAAAGAAATTTGTTAGTAATACATTTTTTGTTTTTCTTACATATTCAATAATAAGTTATAAAAAAAATGAAAACAAAAATGAAATTAGTGCTTTTATCATAAAATAATAAAAAGAGAAGATATAAAAATGATTTCCGCTTCTTTCGTTTTGATATGTTTTACGTCAAAATAAAAACTCAAATATACTTAATATGTTTTTTTTAAAGAAATCCCAACAAGTATTTCCTGTTTTGAGCAAACATAAAACAACGGAAAAACGAATTGGTTATAAATAAAGCATTGTATTTTAGTAGATAGATATAAATCATAACCTATACTATTGTTACACGTACATGCTTTGTTTTCGTTCAATACTTTCATTATTAATAATTTTAATTGATTCATATCTATACTAGACCACAGAGTGCGTGTCTTTGGTTAAAGATTATAAATCATTTACGATTTAATTAATTTTCATTGCTGAAAAAACATGGTGGTCCTTGTATTTTATGTTACATCTGCATCAATAAGAAACGAACTTTAGATAATTTACAGGTGATGATTATTTTTAAATATAAACTGACAAGGTTTTAAGAATGTTTTAAAATTCAGTTGTTTCGTATACACTAAAATTAATAATACTACTATAACAAAAACAATACGCCTTTGCCAAAGTCAGAGCAAGAAAGAAACAGTGTTTACTTAGATAGCTCAATAATTATTGAAAAAATGAACAAGTCAAAAGACTAAACTGTGCAACCTTTTGCAACTAATCCAAAACTTGATAGAAAATGTTCAAACAGCCTCTGTGTCGCTTTTTTGGATCAGTTTGCAACAACACAACTAGTAACCATTCGGCTTCAAACAGCTTTTCGTAACAATGACCCTTGTTTATTGCTCACAGTACCCAGTCTAAATTCTTGATCAGTTTTCCACCACAAAACAGCTTACTCATGGGATCCTGATTTTCTGCATTAATTTCTATCCTATCTAATTCAACACCCCATTTATCAGTCTCTACCTCCACGTGTAATAGATAGTTTCCCTGCGAAAGAACAACTGATGGGCCAATTTTGTTTGAATTCCGGAACACATTCCATTCATATCCACTGTGCCATTCTTCAACGGTAGTAAAGTTTCCAATGTCGACTCCATTAATCTGAATGTAAACAAGATCTGATGGTCCATCATTAGAATAGACTATATCATCAATGTAGACAGTAACATTCAACCCTTCTAGATAAGGATCTACGCACAAATTGAGTTCTACTGTGTATGTCCGATTTCTGTCCTCTAACCTTAAAGTTTTTAGATCGTAGGCTTGCGATCGCCACACCCAAAATTCATCTTGAAATTCATCTAGAGCATCTTCGAACTCAAAGTGTTGTTGAATTTCAAACGTAAACTGGGAAAATACAAATGGCATAAACCACACCATCAAAATACAAATTTTAAACAAAACGTCCATTTTGTACAGTCGCATGTTTACAAAACACTAAAGAATAGAAAAGCGAATAAATATTTATACATCTAAGAAGTGATAAGAAAAACTGAATGTGAGATGAAAACGATGAATTGGGTTTGGTTGATTGTTATTATTGACGAGTTACCAATCGATTGTCGTATGCCTAATTCGTTTTAATAATCATTAAATTTTGGTTTTTGTGATGATGGTAATGGGAATGGATCAAACCAAACCCTTTAAAACGTTCATTTGCAATCGCTTTGATGTTCGATTTTACAACGTTTAACCGATACAATAATTGTCGTATTACGCATACAAATCAACGTACTGTTCATTTGCAATGAATTCTTTAAAATTAAAGAGTTTTCTCAAACCTATCGAACCGTGTACTTTGAACAGAGTCTACAATCTATTCCTTAGGTATAACGAGCTTTATTTGTTGTTTTTTATGCATTTTGCCCATCATTTTTTTAGGTGTATATTGTGTGATATTTATTTTTTATGTATGTATGGAAGTTATGTCAGCAAATTTTAGAGTTAAATTTAATCTTTTAGCGTCGATCATTTTAATTTTTGAATAAGTGTCATTTAAATAGGACTACATTAGGCATCGATTAAATGTCATCCTAAAATTAATATTTTACGCATACCTGGACGAACATTGGCTACCTGTTAAACAGTTTTTACATGTAAGTAGTTTCACGGCTGATTTCGTACGTGATCTTCAGAAATGCTGGCCATAAAGATAAAGGCAGTAAACTCTAATAAAGCGCAGACTGTCTCTTGGCATAGATGACGTTCCATATATTAGTGTACAGTGATTCAACGTGCTACTAAACTACATTTTAAATTTTAAGAAAATCATTGGCAGCTTGTACTGCAAAGTTGACCTCAATCACATAACATTCTTGTTGTCTATACATATATTTATTTATTTATTTATTAGTTTATTACAGTCTCATCAATGTACACAGTTAAAATACATATAAAATACAATATAAATGCACATTGCCAATCTATAAGATTTACAAGAGACTAAAAGGTTGACTTACTATTTACATGTAAAATTCTAAAAATCTAAAATACCCTTGCTAATTTAAACCAGAGTTGTGAACATATGATAAAATGAATCTACTGAAGTAAATTAAAATACCGAGGTAGTTAAGTACCTCCAAAAATTCTATATAGAAATTATATTGTGGTTAAATTAAATCAAAATCCGGTTTAGAAGATTATTAGCAAAGGTATTTTCTAGATAGTACATGTATATCTAAGAACACATAAAAGTTATTTAAAATAATGTCAGTTGTATAAAATTAGTTTTCTTCTATTCAATATACATATATGTACCATACAAGAAAACCCCTTATTGTAGAAATGACTGATTTAATATTACAATCATTAGAATACATTATACGCAATATTTGAAACTATTTAAGGACAAGGAAAAATTATAGGTCAAATGTTAAACTTGAATGACATTATATCTATCATTATCAAAATTATCATAAAAATTCAAACTATTTTATAAAAGGCACATACTTTTAAACATTCACAATGAGAAAATTATAAAGAAGAAAAAACTTAAAAGATAGATTTCATGCTGAAAGTTGATATTTTTTTTGTTGTTGATTCTACTGCTGTATTGCGAAAATATTGCAATGTTCTCTGTTTTATGCCATGAAACATAAGTCTAATATTGTTGACAGTTAAAATAAAAATTAATAAAAAGCCTTATCACTACCTGTTTTAAGACTAATAATTACATTTGATCCAGAATAATGAATCAAAGTAAAATCAAACGTTATAGTTTCGAAAAAGTACGAGTTCTGGCAACCTTTAAGGTCATGAGACATATTAGATAAGGAGTCAAAGAGAATTCAATTAGGTATTCATATCTAAGGTGAAAAGGACTTGCAGATTGTTCATTATATCTTTCACTACTTTCAGTGCCGTAAGAAGGTGCATTTCGTTTAATTAATTACATGTATTTAAGTTATTTTTAACTATTTTATATATCTCTTAAAGTTTGAAGTTTATTGGGATGACACTGTTTATAATATACATGTAAAATACATGCATCTTACATTTTTAAATATGATATCCTCACGAAACGCTCATGTAAAAGAATGTACGGTATATCCTAACAAAATGTTTGAGAGATGAAAATGTACGGCGTGGTTAAATGAATGAGATCTATGATAATGTATATCACTATTGTGTTATACTTACCTAATTGACATTTAATGCAGTGAATATGGTAAATTTACGATACATTTTAGGCGAATTTACATAAAAAATGTGTTCCAACATTAGCGATGTAGCATGTGGTATTTGTCATGATAATAAAGGTCCATTGAAAACTTTAGTAGCCTTTGTATCACTGTGCAGAAGATCAGAAATAAAGCTTAAAGCAGCATGCCTCAAGATTCATGCTAATTATCATGCAAATAGTAAAAATGTATTTAAAAGTAAAATGTTGTGGAGTGAATAAAGAAAATGATTAACACATTGCAAACAGCACTTGCAACCACGCAGTTACCAATAAGAGGTCAAAATAAGCAAAACTAGCTTGAATAATGTGATAAATACTGCAAAACAGTCCTTAATTAATGTAAATTATTACTTTAATTTAATATTTTTTTACATTTTTATAAAATCTTAGTAACTGTTTCTCAAGTTTTCTTGAAATGTTTTGGCTCATCTGTTGGCACGCAACTTTAACATTATACAAGATGGCCTTGATCTGATAAAACCCATTTGGTTTGATACAATGTATCATTTTTTCAATTGTTTTATCTGTTATTGTTCGTGACGACTGTTCATTAATGCAATGTAAAATATGTTTCGTATGAAAACAGATTTATATAAAGAAAAAAAAAGTAATATGTAGATTAATATTTTTCTATCTATCATCATTCATCAGGGGGAAAATGTTCTCGACCACGTCTAATAAACATATCTAATTATCTTATTTGACCTTTGTTAACAGGCATTCCATAGAAAAGAAAAATATATTTTTAATAAAATGAAATTCCTTTCTGTTTTGATATAATTGATTATAATTGCATAAAGTATAATTCATCTTTTTTTTTAAAAATAATATTTTTCAGTTAATAGTTATAATATAACGGATTGTAAAACATAAAGTTCACAAATTGCAGTTTAAATACAAGAGTTAAATGAATATTATATTTCAAAAGCATTTCTGAATTTGGATATCATAACAAAGTAAGTAGTATAGTTACAAATACAATTTATTACTGTCTTATATTTTAATTATTTGTTTTAAATTAACAATAAATGCATTTAATTATTTAGTAACTGAATAGGAAAAAAACTTTTATTTTGATATTACTATTATTATTATTATCTTCACGTATTTTCACCGACACAATATTTATTAACGCATTAAAAGCCTATGAAGACATATAAATCTTCATACTAGATAAAATATATGGTTGACATCCATATTGAAGTACTTGTTCAGATTTTATTGACTTTTTACTAAATATATAGTAAATAAAGTGTCCTTAATGTAAAACAAATCTAAAATGATGATCGTGTACATACGTAATCATTATCCTGTGTCGAGAAGTAATGGCGTCCTTCCTTAGTTCAAATAGATTCAAAGATGCATTTATATGACGATTGTTTCCCGGGAGGGACAAATTATTATTCCATAAAATGTACATTTTGATTCAAGTCGGAAAAAGTTCTGATAAAAATTTAAAAGGATAAAGTCGTAGTTATATGTGAAACTTGGTATTCAAATAACTATGCAAATGTTGAGAAATGAAAATAATCACAAAAGCACAAGTCGCAGAGTAGCATTTGCATATCTTTGACGAGTTACCAAGTTATGGGTATTGCGTCGGGTTGATATGCAAATTCTCCACGTAAGAATTAACCCCGTATGATATATTTCTTATCATCAACTATGATGTTATAAAATCAATGCAAATGCTACAATAGAAAGAAAAGGGTATTAAAAACCTAGTGATTGCCAATGTGTTCATGTCAATTTCTTACCAAATGAGAATAACATCATTTTCATACCAAAATGTTGAATTCTTCTAAGTCGGAGCTAGGGGACCAACATCGGTAGCTGCTATCCATGACCAATAATGCCACATTTCAAATGTCCAGCTTTGGACTATCTAAACGAAACTAAATCATATAAATCGTGTTACAACGATTTATGGTAAATATTTTGAACTTTAAGATCCTAAAATAAATAAAATAACACAATGGACTGAACAATTGCCTCATTACTCTGGAAAGCCGATGAGGGTGATTCTTATTCAAAATAGCGCTAATTAAGACTTTATTTACGTTTGAAAAACTATCACATTTTTCTCTTAGCTTTTTACCAAAGTAACGTTGAACTCGATGTAACTTCATATCATCAGCAGGTGGAAGTATATAAATTAGCAATAATACTATATATCTACTATCTATAATAAAATTATAAAATTATATCATGATATTTCAATATATGCAAGATTATATAGACTATTTGCTCTTGAAGCTAAATGTAACAGAAATTATGCCCTAACATAATTTTTATGAGGTAGTTACAAAAGCTCTTAAAATTTAAACACCTGATGCAACACTTGATGAAGTATGTAACGACATATTTCGTTAGTTAATGAGCACTTAATCTTTGACCAACAGCCACTTTACAACATACTGTTTTACTTTTAAATGTAATTTTCTTTTTTTTCCTCATGTCTTTTATGTAAATTTTAGACAAAGATGTGCGTAATCTTTTAATGTAAATGAATTTTATCATTTAATTATTTGTCAAGAAACATATTAAAACGATTGTTGAGCTTGGTGCTTCATTTGTGCTTTTAATTCTATTAACATAATTTCAAAGAAGATTTCAAAGCGGTCTGGGAAATTGTACAGTTCTACGTCTGCATATCCCATTTTGCCAACTTCTTTGATAACTAAATCACATGAAAATTGCAGACTCGGTTTGATTGAGTCTGTACATGAGGGATAATGTATATATGCAACATCCCTCTCACCCCCTATCACCGGCTTGAGCGGTACTCAATTCTCAACACTCAATAATGCCGGCATCAATGATCCCGAAGGACTAGAAAAATATAACAACACTGAAGTGAAGTACGGGGCAACTTTTTACAGATGCCACACGGCACTTTACACTTGCTGTTACGAGCTTCAGACACAACAATATTTCATTATTATTGTTTTAGATTATTTGAATTTGTTTTAAAAGCAAAGTAAAAACCAACAAAATTGTACTTTTTCTGAAAACGTAAACAATATTTCTTCAAGTGTTCATTCTGATGTGATAAAGTTTGGAATTTTTAAATGATAATGTTTTGCAAAATACATAAACTGTTTTCACCATGTAAAAAAAACAGTGAAAATGATATTGATATATGTTGATCTCTGCCCAAACTATTTTTTCACTTAACAAATGTGAACTTTGAAATTTATCAAGTATTAAAATCAATTTATGCTATATAAAAGAAAGAATAAACATTTAAAGAAATAGTATTCATTTGACGTTTTCAGGAATAAAAACGATTCTGTTGTTTATTTAACTTTGTTTTATTCCTTTTAAACAAATTCGAATAATCTTAAACATAAATAATGTAATCATTTTGAGTCTGGACCTCATAATTCTTAAAGAAAAATACATTGTAGGGATGCTTTGATATATATTGAATGAAATTGAAACACACACCTTTAACAAAGATGCTAACTTCGGCCGTGACAAAGGAAATGTTTTTCTTATAACGTTAATGACGCTGTCCTATTAATTTGTCTCACATCCGTGCATTGTTTAAATTTTTGCCACACAAGTTTGTTGTTTTTTTTTTGTAACTTTTGTTAGCTATCTTTAAATTAGTTTCATTAGTGTTACTCTAGCCAATTAGAGCGAATTATATTTTCAAATGACTTTGAGGATATCAATGTGTCTTTTAAAAGGATTGAGCAAATTGAAACGTTTATTTTAAACATGGGTCTTTTCATAGAATAGATTAAATTGTTCTTTGATATCACTTTTGCCGTGACAAATTAGTATAATTATGCTAATTGATTATGGTGCCTTGGAAATTAACAACAGTTTAAAATACTATGGAAATTATGCTTTTATCATCAAATGCTATTTCCTTAATAAATTATTTGATAGAATGATAAATATTTGATTATACGGTACAAGTGCAGTTAAATTATGAGATCGTTGTCATATTTCTTACATGTTTTGATATTACATAATTGATGTAACTGATCATTTATTTAATTAGTCATTATTCTTCTATCTAATTGAGAAATCATTATATCAAAAAGATAACGTTCAGTTCTTGCTCAATTAATTATTCATTTTCAATATGCTTTTTGGAAATTATCTGTTACTTTACTTATGTATACCTATGTGATTAATTTAATTGATTTTATAAGATGTTTCCCTTTTTTGTTACAGGACACGAAGCTGTATCTTTACTTCTGTTCAACGTGGAAATATCATCAGTGTATCAATGTAATATTATTGTAAAACGAAATCTCTGAGAAAAAAAATAATTAAGAAAACTTGCAACGTTTAATAAAATGGTTCGTAGAAAACCATGCGCTTCTTCTACAAATAAAATAATGATTTTGAATTAACAACCTAAAGACATCTCGAAACAGATAATGGAATATAAGTTTTGGATTGCGTTAATTATTCAGATTTACCCGGTAGTTGCTATGTACATGTATGTAGAGATACAAAGAAGTTATGAATTTGAAGATGTGTTGAGTGAAGACCAACAAGATTACTGGGTTTGGCGTTCTGAAGCATCTAACCTAAAAACTCTTAGGTTGGTAGATCATAATCAAGTTTATAGAACAGACTTCAAAATTTGCATTGACCCTGTAGAAGGAAGGGACACAGTTAATTTCTTTCTAGATGATATTAGGTATGCAAATGATGGACCAAATGACACTATCTCTGTAACGTTTGATGGAGAATATTGGGATGAATATTCGACCAATGAAAAGTGGGCACATGGCCATGATTGGAACATATTTCGAAACAGTGGAAGAGCGACAGGGACAAAATTCTTGAGGGAAGGTGAATATGTGATAGGTGTTTCAGTAAAAACTGACAAATGGGGGATAGAACTTGACAAGATACGTGTAATTGCTGAATATCAAGTTCTTGAAAGTGATATATTTTGTGGCGGAAGACTTGTAAATACAAACTATACATGGATGCAGGATGACGTTGAATTCATACAAAAGACACGCTAGTATAAATTAAATAATGCATAATTATATAGTTCAGCAGAGCATGTAGATATTGTATATTCAAAATGTTTATGTTAAAGCCATTTCATAGAAGTCATTTTATTTATTGTCATTAGATTTTAGGAATTATTGTTGATGTAATAACCGAGGTTCAAAAGTCGGAAAACATATCGTTTGAATTTCTTACATAGATTGGCTTGGTCACTGAGAACAAAATGATATGCAAAAGATAATTAAAAATATTTATTCTTGTTAAATAAATTATTTCTTAAGATATAAATACTTGTTTTCTTAAGAAATCAATAGGCAATCGTATTTATGTGCTGCTCTTTGCCAAATTTTGTAAAACGTATTGCACAACTTTTCAAGTTTGGGTCATTTTTGACAATTAGAATAATTATTCTGTAAAAAAGAAACTGAATGATCTGAACTTTTCGCAAGTCCAGTCCCGTCATGTCAAACACTTTGATGAGACTCTATTTGACTTGTTACTTGTCAGAATAAAAAAGCTATGAATATCTATTACTTTGCATCAACAAACATTTGAAAGGCAAGTTCTGTGTTTCTGAATAAAGTGATATCAACATTTTTTTTAATAAATTATCAATTTTGAAATAGATTTTTTCAGAAGTTTTAGATGCTAGATTGAGAGAAAAGATGTGTCTCAGAAACTTTTTAAAAATTAATGTTAAAGGCATGACATCATAAAGGAATTGTCAATGTCATTGTTTTAACAAGATATATCCGTAATTATTTTATAGAGTCAAAACCTGTTTATTATAATCATTCTTAATATACTAAAATGATACATACATGAAACGGCATCTTAATTTTAATTGAGTGTTTTTGATAAATCATAAATTTCTACAATAATTTTATTCTTAAATAATTATGTAAAACTACGACGTTTTTTCATAATATCATTATGTAAACATGCTTTGTCACTTTTTATATTAACCTTATTGATATTGTTTGTCTATTCTACAAAATTAATAATGATATTTGACATATTATTTAAAAATAAATAGTATAAAATAATTTTAGTTTCGCCTCGGTCAATTTGTCATCTGTCGGTGAATATCACATCATATATAATGGCTGACTTGTCAATAATTGTATAATTATGCATTCGGGGTATACATGCTGTTATGAAATGCAATATGTTGACTCAAGCACGCAGGGTTGCATACAAAACATCAATGGAAGAAAAACTGAAGGCGTAACTTCGAGTTTAACGTTTATCAACTGGCGATTAAAGGCCTCCTGATTTTTACGTCATTATTGTTAATAAGTTTCCAAGTTTATATATATTGAAGTCTATTCTGAAAAAGGGGGATTTTAAAACATTTCAAAAGATTATTCGTGGCAATAGGGAGCTAATACGGAATAAGATTTCATTATTTCAAAATCAGTCAATCACATAATCTTCTTAATAAATAAGATATTCTATGTCTAGAAATTCAACATACAATTTTAGAATGCATATAATCTGTTCATATGCAAAAGAATAAACATTTCTCTGTAATTTTTACAATAAAGTATTTTTTCTACAGCATATAGTTTTACAATATTTAATGATGGAAGGCAAATAGAATTTTGGATGAAAGTAATCATTTATTATTATAAAAATTATTGTTGAGTATAAATCAATAAATGTTTTCTTTTATTACAACATATAGTTAAACTACATCAATGTATTTTGCAATCTCACACAAACGCCCGTAGCGACTTTCATGAAATGTAACGATTTCCAGCAATTTTTCGTTACGATAATACTCAAATAGCGCCATGAAAATGAGTATACCTACGGACTACAGTACTCGATAACACGTGATAAAAATCAAAGTCTGTAATAATACTAAGTAAAACCTATCCTAACAGACATAATCACTGACAGTAATATTTTGCTTTTGATTTGATACACTTTAATACACTTGTAACTATATATAGTAACACATTTCCTCTGTCTTGTCATGAGTATTTAGATACCAATTATAAGTTTGCAGCCCGAGGCCGAAAATAAAAAATTGGTCCGCTAAACGCGAGCACGTGCAAAAACCGAAACGATGACCGAGAAAGCGAGATGTGCCTCTTGGATTTTGTATACAAATAAAGAGGAAATCTGTATATTAAGTTACAGTATGGTACACAGACACAGGAATGTCAACGACAGAAATATCAAAGTAAATAAAATAATGCTACTATTAGCATAAATGCACGTCCTTAGCGGACCAGAAGGCGAAAAACGGTCCTTAAAATGAAAATTAGTTGCCATAACATTATATAAACAGAATAAAAAAGCTTGAATTTAGCTTTGCAGCCTTTGGTCATTAGTGATACCACATGTATTTTGATAATTCCTATTAATTAATACACTAGTTACTAAATATGTTAACAAGGTTGCCTATGATTGCCACTGAGTATGAATTTCAAATGGCCGAGTTTGCAGCCCGGGGCAATTATAATCGGACCGCTGCATCCGAGCACGTGAGAAATAAGTTTCAATCTGGGGTCGCTTGATTTTGTGATGAGAACTTGAGCGTAATTAGTACAAACAAAGTTTATCTAATTTGAATTTTTTTCAATCCCCTTCCGCGTAGCGGAAACGGGGTTATAGGAATGGCCTCCGTTTGTCAGTCCGTCAGTCCGTCCGTCCGCACTCACAGGACAGTAATTATGTGGCCAGATAGACACTGGGTAACTGTTTTTCTCTTTGATGTCATTCATGCTGTAATGCTTTTATGTGGCTAATTTCTTTTGTGTGGCTAAAAGAACAATAGAGAGAACAATAGAGTAGCCACATTATTACTCTCCTGTTAGAACTTCCGTCTGTCCATCCGTAACACTCGTGTCCGCTCCATAACTTTTAAACCGATGATTTTTTTAATATAACTTGGTACAAGTGATCACCATAATGAGACTATGTGCAGAGCGCAACAAATGGGATGCTATCCCCAAGGTCAAGGTCACACTTAAAGGTCAAATGTTAAAAAAATCTTCATTTCATAATAAAAAGTCTACATTTCGTGTTCGCTCCATAACTGTTTAACCGCTAAAAAAATTTTAATATGACTTGGCACAAGTGATCACCATAATAAGACAATGTGCAGAGCGCAAAAATTAGGTTGATACCCCCAAGGTTAAGGTCACACTTAAAAAAATCCTTATTTCATAAAAAAAGTCTACATTTCGTGTTCGCTCCATAACTTTTTAACCGCTGATTTTTTTTTAAATAACTTGGCACAAGTGATCACCATTATGAGACGATGTGCAGAGCACATAAAACCTGGGTTGCTACCCCAAGGTCATGGTCACACTTAAATGTCAAATGTAAAAACAAAGTCTTCATTGCATAATAAAAAGTCTACATATCCTGTCCGCTCCATAACTTTTTAAACGTTGATTTTTTTTTAAAAAATAACTTGGCACAAGTGATCACCATAATGAGACGATGTGCATAGTGCAAAAGATATATTATGTTCTAGATGTGTAGAGTAGCACGCGTTATGCTAATAATGTCTTTCTCATCCGAATAAGTTTTTAGGTACTTAACAACTAAGATATATTAAGTTAACGTCTCTGTTGAGTACTGACAGCTGCAGAAGCTCGTTTCAGGTAAATGTTTACCTCCTGTATGCCTACAATAGAAACAATTCAAATAATTGGTATTTGTTAATACAACACAAGACAAAAGAACAAAGAACAACTGTTACGGTAAAATGGCAACTTCTTTTTTCCCGTTGTCATTAATTTTCATACAGTCATTTTATGTCAGGAGCTACAGTTTGTCTACGTTGAAGCCACTCTAGAACCGAACAAAGCTGTAACAAGTTCATTAGAATGTAATGCTGTATACATTTTCAACCCAATGACCTTTGGCGTGCGTTTGTTTAACTGAACAGGTGTTAAAGCATTGTGACATTTAATGTCTTAATGTAAATTTGAATAACTCAAGATGCATGAAAAGTAATAATTAAACAAATAAACAAGCACCTGTGTCAAGTAAGATATTGTATAACTTTATTGCTGATTTAGGGTTATTAGCATACAGTGACTTGACATTATGTAGGTAATGCATTTATGTCAAAAGTAATTAGCCACAATTATAATAGATGCCTAATTTTTGTAAAATAACAAGGTCAAATGATAAACTACAGTGCTCTAGAAACATGAAAAAATGTACGCTGTTGTAAAATCATAGCATAAAGCGCTGATCCAACTTGACTTATATGAGTGGCGACATGGTCGAGTGGTTACTGCGTCGGTCTAATAATCTTATGTTCGCTAGACATAATGATTCAAACCCCGTCAGGGGCAATTCGTTGTTTCCTTGGGCAAGAAGCTTTACACTCTTTTCTCAGTACTGGTTGGTTCCAGAAACGGATCAAGACGTGTTTTTATAAGCTCATAGCTTCCTTCACAATCGAATTAAAATAAATTCCGTATTAAGATAATATTTTATGTGAGGTACTGTATGTTGTCTTATGTATCATAAAAGTATAACATCAGTACATATTTGTATAACACATACACGGTATTGTTTGTATACATTTTCTTTAAAACAAGAAACTAACAAATAAGCTAATTAGTATAGCGTTTGCGCTAACGAGTAAATATATCAAACGCATGGTAAGTGTATATGCCAACAACATCAGGCAATATGTCGAAAATGTGGGTTAATATAGACTGAATGGTTTTCATAAGCAAATATTATCTTAAACATTTTCCAATTGTATTGAAAAAGTGAAACATACAAACACAGAACTTGACACCTTTATCTTTGCTTTTGACAAAACGTGTTATATGATAAGGTAATGGATCTGATCATCATAGGATAAGACTTTGCAATACGATATATTTATTATTTTATATATAGAACAATTTGCCAGGAAAATTAATCTTAAGCGAATTACAACGGTTTTACGGTATTCTGGTAGATATATGTTGTTTATTTGATTTATGATTTTATATTATTGGTTATAACCGATTACGGTTTGGAAATTACGTATAAATGTCAACACTGATTACATTAAAAAGTAATTGTTATATAAAATGATGAATTCAATAAATGTGCCGGATTGATTCAAAATGTTACTGTTAAATAATGCAGAATCTTCGGTGCATTTTTGTGGTATTAGAAAAAGGATCGTGACAATTTTTTAACAAATTGTTCTTTCCAAAATGACAAAGTAGAACACAAGCAATTAGTTAAAGTAGACATTGATGATATTTCATATTAATATAACAATGAAAAGTCATTTATTGCTCTGTTACATCGTCTGCTTTATCGCTATATAAAACAGTTTTAGAATCACATTTTTGTATCTATTTTTGTAACAAAGATATCAAATTACAACGCCTCTAGACTTGCATTTCTTTCCTGACTTTGGCTTTAATGTATTTCTGTGTAAATAACAATTAGACGTCAATAAGTGTTTTGTTTCAACAAGAATACGTTAATGTTTCTATTGTTTTATTGTATTCATGCATGCCAAGAAATATAATTATACTTGCTTCAGTCTCTATATAGACTACCATTTTGACCCTTTGCCTGCAAGAAATGTTTTCATCATCTAAATGTTTCTACCCCTATAATTATAAATAAAGATTTTAACCATTTGCGTGCAAGCGAACTTGTCTTCAGCTAAAATATTGTCTGGAAGTCAGTTCATTTAAAGATAATTATATCTTTTATTTTGATTACGTTTTCAATTGTTTTAAGATAATTAGTCATTAAATTATCAAATACTCTGATAATAATCTTTATAAAACCATACAAGATAATATTGAATTCTCAAGATATATTTATTTCGTTTTCACTTATTATCTGACATAGTAATACTTTAAAACTGCCAAGAAGTTAACCAGAAATACAATGGATATGTACGAAGCGTCCGTTAAATAAAGTATGTATGTATAAAGTCTATGCTTCACAAGGGTTCATTCGCCCAAAAAGGCACTAATAACAACTTTCTCAGTCGA